TCTTTCTTTCTTTTTTGTTTTATTTGTTTTACTATGAGTAAATACAAACCCAGGCTGGCAAAAATATTTGGCTGATCTGAAAAATAATCCCAATTTTCAATATGTGAATATATGCTGAAATTGCAATCACTGTATACTTATTTCAGATGAGTAGCTCTTTTATGTATGCTTTGTTTTTATAACAAAATCCAGCTTGTCCTCTGTTTTAATATAGGAAGTAATTTAAACATTTAGAGTCAGATTAAATATCAATGGAATATGGTCAGTTGGCAGTGTAATAATGTATCCCTTGAAGGATTTTAATTCAAGCCTCTTTGACATGTTCTTATTGTAGAAACAGTTTCAGTTATGTTGGCTGGGTATTGTGCTTATGCTGGGAATCTCCTGAGTTACTCTGTAGCTGGCAAAAAAGGTTAGTGTGTGCAGCTCATTTAGAAAGATGTATCTAACATCAGAGCTAGTGAGGAGAGCCATGGCTTCTTGTCTCCTACATAAAATAATACACATAAATAAAGAATATTTGCTTATGGATTTAGCTCTGCTCATCAAAGGTATGGCTAACCTCCTATTGATATTTAGCAAGTGCACAAAAGGCTAAATCCTTATTCCAAATGAGAAATCCCAAACCAACTGCTTATTTCAAAATAGGATGATGAGCTTTAAAGAGTGGTTCTCCATCAGTGGTATGTGTACCATAGGTTACCTGAAAAGATATCTACATAGGACGTAGGTTAAGCCGTCAATGCTCTTAATCCCTAGACTCACCATGCCCAATATAGAAACAGTTATGCAGTCCATGACCGCAATAAAGTTGGATTGATTGATGATAACAGAATGCCTGTGAACACACAAATGTCCTCCTTGGGGAAAAGTGTGTGTTTCTATCATGTTGGGGTCCAGGTTCTGTGCTAAAGTAACTGGTGGGACCAAAGTCTGAAAATCACTGGCTTACAAGGTAGCCTGACCATTGCAATTTATCTGCTCTTTATCAAGATGAGGGCTAGTCTGTAACTAAAGATGTCAAACCTGGTATCTTTTGAGCTGTACAGTAGGGCTTCTGGAAATTCATTGGTACAATGAGTATCAAGGAAATAATTCACAGATGGCTAAATATTGTCACTGCATTCCTTGAGGGGTATCAAGTACACTGCAAAAAAGGACCGGTCAAAAATGCCAGTATAAATGCTAGAAAACCAGTATTATTTTCATATGCCTAGCTAGCTCCCAGCTCAGAATTTCACACTGTGGTTTCTATGGTTTCAATTACTTCTAGTTCACACTGTGAGGGTGATAGAAGGGGACACTCATCTGGCTCCCAGCTACTGTCTGGACTGTAATCCTCTTCTGAACTTAGCTCTGCTCCTTCTTCTGTGTCTTCATCACATGACTCTACATAATGAGCCCCAACAGCATTGATCCCAGAATCCTCAGAGCTGGAAGGGGATGAGCAATGATCTATTTTTGGTGTATTATTCTCTCTCAAAATTAAGGCATTGCGCGTGGGGACCTCCCGAGGCTTTGTTTTATAGGAGAGAGCAGGAGGTTGCCTTTGCACATAACACATCTTCCCATTGATGCATTTCACACGGTAATTGTCAATAAAGAGGTCTGAAATTGTGCAAAACCGTGGGGAGTCTGGTGGTAATGGTGCTTGGAAGACAGGTGCAAACTTCAAAAAGTGTTCTGTGAGAGAGACAGCTATCTGAATAGTGTTTATGGTTCCTCGAGGCCGAACAGGTATTTCAGTACTTGGAAGCTGTTCTACTGGAGTCATAGGCTGATAAACATATTTACCTGCAAAAGGTATGAGAAGAAATATTAGAACCACATTTTACTGTGTAGAAATTAAGTAGATCATGAACAAAACTTTTTTTAAATGCTACTGAATGTCAAATGCTGAAGGTCTAAAACATAAGAATGTGCTTAGCTTACAGGCCTCCTGGAGGCATCTGGCTGGCAGCTCCTTACCTTTTTCCATATTCTAATCATTTGTCCTCTGTCACTGAAAGTAAATATTCTGTAAAACAGACAGTAGATTCCCCTTCTCCCCCCTCCCCCTGCCAAAATCTTGAAATTCTTTACTTTGCTTTACACAAACTATTATACAACCAGGCCTTCTCTGAGAATGTTCATTTTTTTTCCTTGTGCCACTAGGGACTATTGTGGGTGCAGTTGTTTACAAGACATTTTAAGACAGGAAATGAAGGGATTTTGAAGCTCACTAGTATTCTGATAATTCAGCTAAATAAGAAGAAAATAGGAATGCACTGACTATGCCATATAAAAGAACTGCCAAGGAGAAGGGTATTGAAAGAACTTTGTTGCAAGAATCAAAAATGCAACAATTCAAAACTGAATTTAGTTTAGATGATCACCTTCAAAATGCATCTTGTAGTCAGTGAACAGCTCTATGCCTAAATTTTACAAACATGGAAGAATGTTGTTATATTTATTTGTTTGTTTGTTTAATAGATTTATATGGCTGCCCATGTCAAGTACATGTCTCTGGATGGCTAACAATATTAAAATGATGATATTATTATTATTATTATTATTATTATTATTATTATTATTATTATTCCTCTAACTAAAAAACAAGAGAAATTGAAACAAAGAATAACTGAGTATCTAGAATAGCACAAAAACAACAGATTAAGGTTGTCTGCATTGAAACTTG